ATTTTTTAGTAGAGACGGGGTTTCTTTCACCACGTTGGCTAGGCTGGTCTCAAACTCCTGACTTCAAATGATCCGCCCACCTTAGCCTCCCAAAGTGCTGGGATTACAAGTGTGAGCCACTGCACCTGGCCATTTTATCTATTTTTTTTGAGATAGGATCTTACTCTGTCACCCAGGCTAGAGTACAATAGAATGATTATGGCTCACTGCAGCCTGGACCTCCCCAGGCTCAGGTGATCCTCCCACCTCAGCCCCTCAAGTAGCTGGGACTATAGGCACATGCCACCATGCCTGGCTTAGTTTTGTGTTTTTAGTAGAGACAGGGTTTTGCTATGTTGCCCAGGCTGGTCTTGAACTCATGGGCTCAAGTGATCCACTTTCTTTGACCTCTCAAAGTACTGGGATTATAGGCGTAAGCCACTGTGCCCAGCCTTAATCTTATTTTTTATTTGTATTTAATCAGAATATTGTGGTCTTGATTTTGTGGTTTTTTAAAGAACTGTGAATGTAAGGATTTTTATGTAGCTCATGGTTGTAAAATACTTAAGTAAAATTGTGAGACTCCATTTTAAGTTAACCCTGGGGATCTGTGAGAGCGATTTTGTTTTCAAATGGGTCTCTAAATTTGATTCAAATCTGAGAAACACAGACCTAAACTGTGTTTCTCGGCTAAAAATGTACAGCTGACTCAGTGACTTGCTACTGTACATATCTGATAGTAGTTACATAATTTGGACGACGCTTGCATTTTTCCTTTTGTTTGCTGCCTGCCTTGTATCTTCTGTTGCTATCAGGATGGTCATTCTCTTCCCTTTGATCCAGATAACCATCAGCTTCATTGACTCACTGATTTCAACAGGTTAAAAATCAGCCATTTCCTGAGTTCACAAAGCTCAGATTTTTCTCTGATGAGAGCCTCTTCTTCCTGAGCCTCCCTCATTAATTTTCTCCATCTGTTTTCTCCCCTTTAGAAAACTGGCCAATCTGCCTTCCCCACTATAACCCGAAGGCTCTTCAAGTGTGCACTTGTGTGAAGTGCCAAAGCCTGTGACTAGATGACAGATATGAACAGTTAGGCCAGGTGGGCCGGTGGGACTTCTGGGCCTGCTGCACTTTCCTTGCCACCAGGGGTCAGTATGTCTCTCATTCTCCAGAGGGATCTTCTGTAGGTCACCTGTGGCTCAATGGGATCTTGAGATCAGTGATGTATACATACTGGGCAGCGCACACAGAACAGGTACGAGTATTGGCTGGCGTGTGTTAGCCTGTGCAGGTGTGTGCATACTGCACCCAAGGCATCAGGTGGGGTTCTGGCCCTCCAGTCGTTACCTTGTGTGATGGCATCACTGGGTTCTTGGGCCTCCCTCTCTTCTTTTTCTTCTTGGACACAGGAGGCAGCTGCCATCTGGGCAAGAGCCGAGGCGCAGTTAGCAGCAACCCCTTCAGAGGAGACAGACAATGACTTCTTGA